AACGGGTCAGAATATCTCAGCCCTCCGAGAAATCTGACATTAGATAAGACTTTCAATTTAGTAAAAACAGTCAATCACTTGGCTGATGTGCTACGAACAGAGCAGTACTAAATGCACGTATTCCTCAAGGCCGTTATCGATCTTGTGACACGGCTACACCGTATTATTTTATTTTTCGATTTTCGAGATACTTTTCTACTTATTAACATTTAAGTACATCATTCGTTAATATTTTCAGTTCTCATGTTGACAGCATGACGCAAAACCGAATACTTCGAATTTTAGAGCTATGAAAAACATATGAAGAGAGATTTAATAAAATTATCGAAATGCCTACTCACTTGTAAGTTAAAACGTTTATTTAGAGGTGACCAATGGGATGTGGCGTCCTCAAACTAGGCTAATCGGCATTTTATCCCACAACAGGCGTGATGGGTCTCCGAGAGCTATAGACATCAGTCAAATAATTTAGTGAGCATAAGCATAGAGCAGGGGTCTGTATACGTCATAAAGCAACCCGAGGACCGGAGGTGAGGGAAGGCCAAACAGAGGAATGTAAATACTTGAAAAAATGGACCAGGACAGATTTTGAAAGTCCACAGAAAACTACTGCCTGCATCATCACATAGGTAAAGAGTGATCTTGAAACAATCATAATCTAGTTATACTTTTCAGCAAGCCGGAAATATCCCAACTGCATTCTACAAATACGGACAGTAAACCATCTAATATATCAAACAAAATATTTCCTTCAAATTCCCATTACGATTAACCCTATACTAAACTACTGCTCGCGTTTTAACTTGTTAAAATTGACTCTGCATCGGTTGGAGTCCATTTGTTTGCCTCAAAACAAACACAGAACCACTTCCAGTACAAAAAAAGCTTCGATCGGATAAGAAAAAGGTGTTATTCAAAATCCACAGAGCGGCAGCCATCTTGATTCCACCCGCCGATTCAAGTGATCAATACAGTCCACCTCCTGTCAAAATGCTGCTAATCCCGATTCTCCTTTGACAACGGATTAGATCAAATTAGCAATTTGCTTCCCTTTCTCACTCGTAGGTGCAGCGCGCACACACACGCACATCGAGACCCAAACACGGTTGTCGCGGGACACGCCCAAACGCACTTCAAACTGGACTGGACGTGTCGCGGCGGTGGTGGGTGGGGGTGCCGCTGTCAACCCAAGTGTGAATCGTCAGCGAAACCATTTGAATCGACGTAGATAAACCAAACACTAGGAGACTCGAAGCAGCATGTAACATTGTGCAAAAGGCCTAATATACCTAGCACGACCTAAAAATCAAAAACGCAATTTTAAAAATTATCCACCGTAGATTACCCGAATCCTAGTATGACAGACTGGTACAACAGAACAGGCTTTATTGACCAATCGCAAGCCAGA